CATCATCAATACATCATTTGAACATATCCAAACATAGTGTATATATATATAATTATATATAGGTAACGAGTGTTCACCTTGAGAGCTGTTGGGAACCTCAAAGCCAGGTCTTCCCGTGACGGAAGCCTTATCCAAAGCTATCGGATTCCCAGATCAGCCATTCAGGTGAGTTCCGTTGACCCATGCCCAGGAATCAATGATCTCACCGAATGTCATCACCTACAGCAGCTGTGTGAGTGCTGGTCTTGGTGGAGTTTTTTCCAAGTTGTTTCCACTGCAAAGTGGCATCAAAAACACGGGATGTTGACATGTTGCATGTGTTTCCGGTGTGAGATGTTTTTTGTGTTCAATCGCTGGGTCTTAGGATTTGTCTTAATTCTCGAATGACATGAGATATGTTGAAACCGCTGGCCAGATGAGATCGCATATTTCATTCTTTTGTCTCAAGGCTTCCCCCATCCTGACTGGAAGCGCCATATTGTCCGGCCTGAAAAAACATGCATTGGTACTGCACAGTCATATTTTGCAGTGCTTACTGTACTTCTTGTGTGTATGTTTATGCCTTTATGCCTACGGCAGGAGTCTATGATGCATGTAGAAAGCACATCTCATCCTGAACCCTGAGTGACAGAGACTTTGGACCCTTACCACTTTGCACTGCGATGCTAGAAAGGTACAGACAAATCTTGTTGGCGGTTTGGGCATTTGGTAGCTTCCAGTCTTGAAGCAGACTGCCATGGGATTGGAACAAGGTGCTTTGGCCAAAGGTGGTCAGTGGCAGGGTGCCCTGAGCCTTTTGGATTCGATGACACGTGCAGAAGTTGCACCCAATGACTTCACGTGCCTTGGACTTCAACAGCAGGTTGGAAGACCCGAAAGGCCTTGAGAATCCATGTATTGGTGAAGAGCCATGGGGAAACACATAGGGATGGATCAAAAGCCATGAATTAGCACATTTCGCACGAACATCCGCCAGCTAATTTGGTGTGAAAACCAGGCTGCCAGGGTTTTGACATGTTTTGACCCATACCCAAATGGTTTTAGGCCCCAATATGGCTCAATGCTCCCTTTCCAATGTTCCAGGTACAGTTCGGCCATCAGCGCTTGCTCTGAGCCTGGTGAATGGCAAATAGCACTGGAGCTATTGACTGTGACGTGGCTTCAGTGGATTATGGCTGCCCTTCAACATGGCCTCGGATAATGAACATTGTTGTAATGATGTCATCCTTGTAACAGGCAGGGGCATGTCGGGGGGTTGGCTTTGGCTGACATTGCACTGGTTGCGATAAATCTTGATTGGCGTGGTGATTTTATTAGTTTTCGATTTTTTCCGATGCAAGTCGGGGTATAACTATTTCACTTATAAAGTGGAACATGTAAAAAAAAACAACTAGCTTCCTCCTTTTTGAACTTTCTTACAAAAACACCGGACGGTAAAATGAGGAAATGGTTACCGTATTATATTCATATATACATATTCATATATATATATATATAGATATGCACACCACAGCATAGTTGTATAACATATGTATATATATACTATTTAAATGCATGCGCATATGTACTTGATGGTGTTTAATTAGTTGTACGTACGTAAGTGTTGGGCATGTAAGTACATGATGTTTGTATTTGTATATATATATATATACATATAAACACATATAATATATATATATATATATATATTATATGATTATATGTGTGTATGTGTGTGTGACCGTTGCCATGGTGGTTGTGGGTGTTGAAATTTATGGATTGCACTGCCGGCTGCCAGAGCCGAGGCCATGAAAAAAGCAGAGCTGCCTTTGGACAACTTCAGTTGTGCCAGTGCCATCAACGCCTGTGCATCTGGTTGCTTGGCCAACAAACAACTGAGATTTACCATCAAACATGATGGATTTAGGTAGGAAAAATATGGACAAATAGTGATAAACTGGGGAGATAGTGAGGATATAGAACCAACATGGGCTTGTCATTTGTCTGAGGATTGGGATGGCTTCTCAAGTTATGGCGATTTGAACCACGAATATGATGCTTCACCAGTGAATTTAGAGGTACTCGTACTGATTATGAGATTATGAGACAAACCAGCTATTGCATTTTTACAGGAAAGCAGGAAAGGCCGGTCCAATTGTGCAACTATAGACGCCCAATAAATTCATATAAATTCTAATCAGCCTAGTTCAACCAATTTGCCTATCTTTGCCTACTGTATCTGGATGGGGGCCTTTCTGTAGGTGGTAAAACCATGTAAAATCAATGGGTTGGATTGTATATTTGAGTTATTCTAGTTACTGTATATAATTGTTGGCCTATTGGCCTATTGATATCTATTGATAATATGTGTTGGGATGTAATGTAATAATTTAATACACCTGATGCTTGGTAAAGCATCCTGGATTTTGCCCGCATTCAACGTTAACCGGCAAGAGTTGGGTTGTGATCCAATAAAGGCTGGTTGTGTCGAATGACGTCCAACTTGGACTATTGGGGGTTGCATTGGCGTATGCAATGTTGCAGAACCATTAGGCTATGGTTGGATATGCTAATATCAGTTGGACTCATTTATATAGCTGCTAGGTTTAGAGAGATGATGATCCCGTTTGTCTAAGAGCTGGGGTCAAACCACCAAGCAGCTATATAGTTTTGTTTGATTGTTAAGAGCTGGTGGGGCAAAAAGAAATCTGGATCAGAGCAAAAAATCAGTGAAGATAAAACGGAGCACAGCACCATGGAAACAAGATAAAACAAGTCTAGTCTTGTTTCCCAGGAAGTTGTTGCTGTGGGAATTGATTTTTGATGTTCTGTGGAATGTCCCTTTGGAGTTTCTGACAACTCCATGAACGCTCTCCATGAAGGCGCGGCATGGGAGCAAGCCGCAAGCATTTTAGTCGCTTGGCAGCTGAAGTCTCATTTTTAGGGACTGACACGGAACCCGCAAGGACGTGGGCTGTAGATGAAGAGCTTGTGAACCTGTGGTACCCTTTGGTAATTCAACATAGCTATTCAACATGGCCCATAGAAATAGTTGATTTACCTTTTAACAATTATAATTTTCCATGGCAAACTGTTAGTTTACCAGAGGGTAACTGTTAGTTAACTGTTGTAATTTGTAGAGATTGGCCCCCCTGTTCCATCTGAAGGTCTCCGGTACTGCAGATGTGGTCTGTGTGAATGCTGCCCTGAGTGCCTTCGAAAAAGCCTCGCGTTGGCAGAGCCTTGATGTGAGGTTTTTGTGTTGGAAACAGAAAAAATGAAGAAAGATGGTGGGGTTTAATGACTTTAATGGGGTTTAATAGGGTTTAATGGGGTACAATGGGGTTTAATGGGACTTTAATGGGATTTAATTGCATTTAATGTGTTTCAAAGGGATTTTAATGAAGTTTTAATGGGATTTTAATGGGAATTTATTAACAGAACATCACCATACAACATCTTTCTTTAGCATGATTCGACTAGTTTTGTTGTGACCTGACATTCCAATTGGAGAGATGGCAAACTGGGTGTGGGGCCTTGATATCTGAGACGGAAAGGGGTATGAACCACTTGCTAACCATGTCGAAATCAGAGCACGAGTACGGATGCACATGTTCGACCGACCTACTAATTAAATATTCTAAAGGGCGCATTTTTTCGATCCATACTTTTGAGCCAGGCTGAGAGAAACTGAACACATATGATAAGATGGATATGAATTGTTTAAGGATGAGAAGGGTCAAGCAGTGCCGCCATGGAAACCACGTCATCAGACCATGCCACCAATGGTCCCAAGTGCATCCAAGGGCTACCCCTACGCAATGCGCGCTCAACCACTATACGTGTCAGGGTTGTGTCAAATACTCACGGAGGTGTTCAACATATCTATATATATATATATAATAGATATATATATATATATATACACACCGTAGACGTGTATACATTTATATAGTATGTTTTTGCACGGACATGGTTTTCACACATATAAACATATACACACACAGACACATACTACTCATACTTGCCTACATCCATACGTACCTACATACCTACCTCTACCTACCTATCTATACATACCTACCTATAAATACCAGCCTACATGCACAGGTACACCTAGACACGATACAAATACACATCACATTGAATGATATTGGCATTCGGGATTCAACCGGCCCAAAAGCTGACCTGCCTGATAACAAACAACAGTTTATCATGGGCTTCCCAACCATCAACTAACAAGGCCTTGTTAACAATCCATCATTGGTGGGTTCACGTTTGGGAGGTTTTTTGTTGGATCCACAGCATATTTGGACTCTGGACCCATGGTTTGGGGGTTGCAGATGAACTCAGATAGACCATTCCTGCCATTGCTTGGCACCCTTAGCCAAGATGGAAAAACCCACAGGTTTCCTGTTCTTCCGGGGCGCTCCTCCCCCACCCTTAGCCTTAGTAACTTAGTCCTCATGAGGCATGCCCTGCACCTCTTTGACCGCATGGGGCTGCAAAAGGACAGCCGTGAGTCATGACTGGGCCACTGGGGTCCTGAGAATGACAAAGGTTGGTTAATGAGAAGGGCCAGCAAATATGTTCTTTTCCAGATTCCCTGGTGAAGGTGATTTGGGACAATTGAGCAATCACTGGTGGGAGTGTTCCATATATCTTCAAAATCGTTTGGATTTGGCGGCCAGAATTAAGGAATCCGTATGTATCATTTCCCGCTGGTTCCTAGGTTAATTGAGCGCCACGGCTGAAAGGCCGGCTCACCGGCCTTCTATCATTGAAAAATCCCGCAAAAAATCAGGGCCGATGTTTTAGACTGGCACCTTTGACCAAGTGTCCTGCACACCGGGGTGAGATCCACAAAAGCAGAATATACCCTTGAATACCCTTTATACTACCACCTTCAGCTTCAACTCCCAAGGTGGAATGTTTCATCTGCGGCATTCGTGATGGAACGCTGCACTTGGTTTTGGTATGTTTCTCCACTTAGACTTAGACTTTTTCCTGACGGTTTTTGGAGCCAGCTTGATCCCCGCAGTGGTATCCAAGCTTGGCTGTTTCTTTCCAGAGTCAGGACATCTTCAGCTACAACTCCGCCATCAGCGCTTGTGAGAAGGGCTCACGTTTGCAGGAGACCTCGCGCTGGGAGACAAGTGCAGGGTCAGAGGATGGTTAGTTGCGCATTGCTCCGTGGTGATCATCTATATATATATATATAATTATATATATATATGTATATATATATATAGGGATATTTTTTACAACGAGCTCACCGGCAACGTCACTAGAATGTTGGGCACTAGGGGGAACCAGCCCCAGATGGCGCACTTGGTGATTTGTTTCTGTGATAATGATTATCTTTTCTCTTTGCTAGCAGGAAATCTCAATAATTATGTCAATGTAGCTGTTGGCCTTGATGATAGACATGATATATTGATATGATGTTAAAGGAGAGCCAGAAAGCTTGCAGACTTTCCATGTTTGCACCAAGAAGATGCATAGAAACTAGAATCTGGAGAAAGAACAACTTTACCAATTCAAAGCTGCCTTGATTCTGGTAAGATTTCGCCAAACTTCTGGAGATGACCATGGGGAGGGAGCCAAAGAAAAACAACAAAAACAATTCTTGAAGATTCACTTACTGACTCCAATGCACCGGAAGGCTGGACGTTGGCATCACGCCTTGTCGTGGGGGGTTGGCAAGCTTGCCAGCATGTGTCTAATCACGCTTTGCAAGTACACTGGACAAGAATAGGTCCAGGTTTTGTTATGCACAACTAGTTGCATTTACTCAGCTTGCTGAAAACAAAAAACTGATCTGAAAATTATCGTTATTCTTGCTAATTACCCAATATTTCTCAAGTTCAGATGAGAGTCTTCAGATTTTGCGACCCTCCTCCAGGACGGCCTGGAATTGTTGGAAGCTCGGCAGATTTGCGCTGAGAGTTCACGACTGATTGAAAGGGTTTCCCCCATGGCCCAATGACATGCCATCATTGGAGGTGAATCTATGGATAGAATCTGTCCAATTCTGGGAGTTTTATGTTCTGTGTTTTGTTGGGAGGTTCTCGAGAAAATCCATTTAATCCTCTGCCAGCAAAGCCTGGAGCCCGGGACAAACCCGATGTTGGTCAGGATATGATGTGCCTTCACCAGTTGCAACCCGATGTGTTTACCTTCAGCAGTTTGATCAGTGCATGTGAAAAGATCCTTGGCTGCAACATGGGACAAACTGCCACCGTGTCTTGCCAAATGCCATTGATGTGTGAGCCAAAGTAAATTAGCAGAATTCTTCTCCTTGACTAGGAGAGGCCAACTTTGCCAATGGGGGTGGGGGGGCGCAGGAGAAGAAAAAAGGCGGAAGCATGTGTTGATCAAGTTATACCACCTTTTTCGAAATAGGATGAAATAGGGCACAACATTTTCTAAATGATGAATGTTTCTTCAGTCAGTGTCCTAATTTCTTTTCTTGTCGGGGATGGGGCCAACCTTGAAGCGTGCAAGACATCCTTAGCAGATTTCACCACGCATGGATGGTTCGTAGTTCAAAGAATGGGCACATATTGGCCCTGTGAAAGATCATGGTGTCCCAGATGCTAGTAACAGCCTTCTAACATGTTCTATACCTTTTCACTGTGTTGGACAAACGTGGGCTACAAAGTTTTACAGTTATACACTCATGATTCGACTCATGATCGATCCTACCACATTATGGATAAAGCCTGAAGATGGCGACGGGATGCTACGGCGACGGGCCAGGGGTACAAAGGCTCGAGTTGTACCAGTTATCCCCGTTTATGGAATGATAGCATCATCTATATAATCAAATTGATAAAGATAACTGGCAAAGGGCGTTGAGGGTCAAGATTTGAGCTCCATGGTGCCCAAATGACAGGGTCATATCTGAATGATTTCGGCTCATTGGTAGATCACGTCATGTTCGCAAGAATTGGAGACAAGTACTTGGGGAAATCTCCAAAAAATAAGCCATCCCCGCCCTTTGGAGGTTTGGAGCCGCTAACCACAGTCCTCCAGCTATCCAACCGCCCCAATCATCCAAGTCATGAATGACCATGACTTGGTATCGAAACCCATGGTGACTTGGGGATCCACCAGGCCTTCAGAACCCCCTATTCTTATTTGTTTTTTCCCATGATTTGACTAAGAAAACACGAAAAGAAAACATCCCATGTCCATGTTTGATGGCCTAGGACGAGCAGCTGGCCATTGGCCTTGGACCTGCTCTGCAGCATGGGGCGCTGGGCTGTGCGACCGAATACGGTGCGACCGAAACGGCTTGGTGAAAGTGGTAAGGTATGATAATTCCATTTTTTTTGGGTGGATGAACATCCAGAAATCCCGATAAATCGTGATAAATCAATATTCATTGTGTTCAATTCTAATTGGGAAGCGGCAGGATTGAAATGCAAAAAAATCGATCATTATGTTCAATGGTTCTGACTCATTCCTATTGGGGCATGGGCATGTGCATACAACCATAAAAACACATGTTTTTTTCTCACAGCTTCCGGGGGCCACCTGGCTAAGATCTTTTGGCTCTGAATGGCATTGGGGCATCTCCAAAGAATGGGAGTTTAAATCATGGGTAATCATAGAACCAAATGAGTTTTGTTTGTTTTCCATTGCCATGTTTGATTCCCAGAGTGTGGTTGACCCCTGGGTATGGGAACAGCATGTTTCAAACAGCCCCACGGTGGTATAAACCTGGATCACTTGGGGATGGTTTATCACTGAGTATATGGAGCCACGGTCAAAGAATTTCATAAGATGTTTATAGTTTGCGGTCGTCCACCGACCGCTATTTGGAATTCTTACCGTGTGTCTTATGTCCAACAAAAGTAAGGATTCCCAATAGTGGTCGGAGGATGACGGCAAACTATAATACCAAAAATGCCAGACAATGCTGGTGAAATGCTATCCATGTTCAGTTCTTTTGCACAGAACACAAGAAGAAGGTACTATAATGTACTATATTTAATCATATATATAATATGATTATGACATTTATTATTTTTATGTTTTTTAAGATTATTATGTTATTGTTTTATTACATTTTTTTAATATATATATATATATACATCATGAATCCCTAATTTCGTTCAGATTTGCGATGCCATGATTTGCGATGCCATGTTTCAACATCCCGCAGCAGGTGAGCTTCAACGCCTGCATCAGCGCCGCTGGCGGAGGTGGAGCGTGGCAGCTGGCGCTGGAGCTCCTGCGGATGCTGGAGCAGCTGGTGCCTGGAGGATGGTTTGATACAGGTGTCAAAAAGGTGATGATGATCACCAATTTCATGATATGTAATGTGGGAAAAACATGGTAAAACAATCATAAACCATCCCCCAAATCACCATAGATAAACCATTCCCAAATGGGTGGTTTATTTTTGTTTTACCCACATTATCAGAATATGATGTGACAAATCTGTGCATATGATGGTTGGGTGTTTAATCAGGATTTGATTGTTTAACCATCATATCGAGGGGTTTTAACATGCGTTAACCATCAAATAAGGGGATAGATTATATACAGTATTAATTCTCATGATGAGTGATGGCTGGTTTTCATGATTACAAGAGGGGGCTCTACCACAAATATACAACATATACCGTTCATATACATCTTTTGGGATTCGGATTGCCTTTCATTATCCTCCTTTTTGGGGATCCCATTCGCCATGGATTTTGGTTCAAGGCTGCTTCCCACACAGGTGGACGCCGTGTCTGGCCATGCGGCCATCAGTGCATGCGAGGCTGGAACAACGCCGTGCAGAACTGGTTATGTCGGTTATGTCATGTCAGGATTTGACCATCCAAGTTACTGCACCACACCACAAAATACCACAAACATATCAAGCCATGTTTTGGGATGAGTATATCCCCATCATCATAGCCCTCACAGCTTACATTTTTGACCACAGTGGGTGCGGCTTGTGACCTCCAAACATCCAGGAGTGCGGTCAGTGGGAGGCCGCACTGCATATTTTGACATGCTGGAGTCTGGGCGATTGGCAATCAATAGATGTGACCCATGAAATGACCTGGATTTCCATTTCAAGCATAGTTTTGGATGGTGAAATGGAACTTTTTACCAAGTCTGTTGCCAACCACTGTCTTGCTGAGAGCTGAATGATGATGACACAGCACACATATTCCATGGTTTTCCCGCAGGGCGTTCTGCTTGCCACGATTTGCCAAGTACATGGAACTGTCGTGGGGGATTTTGCCAGTTTCCTGGATACTAAGATGTACTAATTACAATTCATTGTGGATGTTGAATGAGGTGTCGGATTAGTAAAACAGTAAGATTCCCATACATACAATATATTGTATATATTTTATTTTGGATCTGGAGTTTTCAAGGTAGTAGGCGACGATTTTTGGCTGTTTTGTTGGTCGAGACCCCTTCTCCATCCATGGTTGTGGTCACCGGGGAAAACTAGTTACCCCAACCCTCAGACGTTGATAGACTTTGTTTGTTCAATAATTTACTGTAATGAATCTGTTATTCTGTAAATTCCTTGGGGTTCCCTTATTCATCCTGTTCTTTGCTTTGATTTGCTTTGTGTAGATGCATGTAGATGCGAACTTCGGTTGGGTTGCACGTTCGAACATGACTTGTCACAATCGAGACACTTGTCAGCAGCATCAAGTGGCAAGTTTTATAATTATATAAATTATATAATCATAAAAAGTTCCAGGCAACTGGCCGTAATGAACAAACAAATTTTCCATATGTCAATTGATATTCAGACGCGGGCCAAGTACATGTTCGGATTGGGTAGCGCTCGGTTAGAGCTTTGCCAAACCTTGCCGCCGCCATGGCGGTCGCCTGTGCCTGGCTGCTTGCAAAGACTCGGCAACAAACTTCACGGCTGTATCAGAAGGTCGTGGCCGGCATCCGCGGGTTCCGCGATTTGTACGTTCACCTTCTTACTACTGCCCTGATATCCAAAGAAGCTGAGGAGATGCACAAATGTCACAAAAAAGGATCGGAACGCTTGCAGCGTATCCTTGGACTGGATACCTTCAGCAGCATGAACAACCTTGCCAATGTTCTGCAAGAGCAAGGCCAAAACAGCATTGGAAGGCAGGCCGCGGGTCTGGACCAGACCATGAGCATGCCTGCAGCAGCATGAACAATGTTGCCAATGGTTTGCGAGAGCAAGGCCGCTGGAAAGAAGCTGAGGAGATGCGCAGAAAAGCATCGGACGGTCCTTGGACCAGACCACCCAGAAATACCCAGATACTCGTACATTGAACTGCCTGTGCGATCTGGGTGTTTGCCCGCAGGGACAGGTTGGAGCGACTGGCATTTCAGGGTTGAGCATTTGAAGGATCCGTCTTTCCATCAGAAGCGAGTTGAAGATGCTGGGATCATTGAGAAATCAATTCCTTCTCAGGCGCACGTGGCTCCAGACCATCTGCGCCGCCAAATCGCACGGGGCAATGCCGCTGATTCAATTTGGCCAGCCATATGATGTTGAAAAGGCAGTGACGGTCCTACGCCAGCTCGCCTCATGCTCCGCTTGGGGCCAGGGGGTCGGTCGCAAGCCTTGGCTTCTCCCCTTGAAAAGCATGGTGAACCCGAGGAAGTTGAAGACTGGCAGCAGCGGCTTGTCGAGTTTGGGCAGGGAATTGCAGCAGCGGGGGAGCTTTCGACAGTCCTAGGCCCTGAGGAAGCGAGGATTTACCAAGCTCTTCTGAAAACCAAGAAATACAAGCTGTTGGCGGAGAGCTGTTGGACGAACAGATCAAAGATGTTTTGGAACATGAGAAGATCAAGCAAAAAAAAGGTTGCGAGAACATGTTTTCCCCTGTCATTTGGGCTGCGAAGCCTGCATCAGCCTGCAGAATTTTGAAGTGCCAGCAAATCCCGAGGAACACGCGGGCGCTGAGAGCAGACTCAAGGTCTGAGGCTGCTTCAGACCACAAGAAAGCGCCAAGAGAGTTTTGAGGAGAAAATGGCAGCTTTTTTTTTGGTGCCGCAGAGGGCTTGTAAAGTCACTCTGAACGGGCTGATGCGCTTCAATGTAGTGGCGTAGCGAGGCTGAACAGCATTGCCAAGCAGTCTTTTTTGGTTACGAAAGCAGAATTGTGCTAAGAGATGTTTTGATTTGGACATGGCAGCCTGTTTACTTTATGTTTCACCTTTTGCTTTGGCGGAGTCTCCGGATTCATCACCCTGGAGTCCTGCCAGATGCCAGATATCTAAGAGCGTCGTTTTTGGTACAGCCATGTACAGCCCATAGCCATAGCCAAAACTTAATAGCGCAACCCGTGCAGTCTACAGGGTTGGCTTTGAGGCTTCTGTCTATATTTGCAAATGATTGCAAATGCTGTGCCTATTTTTGCTTCGCTTGTACGCTAGTATCTCCAATTTCATCCAATTTCCATGCTCCTATATTTTTGTTGGAATGCCGCAATTAGACTCTAAAATCCGAGAGTGTCATCTTTTGTTGGGGCGGCACCAATCCCAAATTGAACGTCTGGGGTTCTTCGCCACCTGGTGGGGCTGGTAATTTGGCCTCGAATGCCAGCCAGCCAAAAAAGAATGCGGTGCTTTGCGGGCAGCACGGCTACGGGTGAATGGAATGGCGTAATTGAGTTGACACATGGTCAGAATGGATAAGATCTATCTATTTGACAGCTAAAAAAACATTCAGTACCATGCAGAATTATTCAAGTAATTTGCAAGGTCAAATTGAGGTTCCATATGGTTCCAAGTCCCACTACTCGCTGGCATTGTGTATGGCATGGTCCCTGGCACACCATAGTTGGTAGCTGAGGATGCCGTCCAACGGCCTTCCGGTTCATGTCATTGGCGTGAGCAGTGCCATCAGCGCCTGTGAGTCTTGGCACGGCTGGGCGCATGGCGAATCCAATAAAATGGGACCAATAATCCCTTCCCGCGATCAGATCAGACACCCTCCACATGGAATGAACAGGTCCAATACTAAATGCGGTATCTGATATTAGGGGAAGGGATCAATGTTTATCCACAAATTGGCCATTGCTATCCATGGGAGGCCATTCAACCACGCGGACATTTTGAGATTTTTGTCTCCCAATAGTGAAGTGTCTTCACAAATGTCTATTGCCTCTTATTTTTTCATTGGTGATGCTGAAGATTAGGTTCACAATCACATGCTCTACTTGCTGGTGCAGTTCTACTGATAAGTACTTCTATAACCTATAGTTCTAGGGGTTTTCTGTTCGGCTATACCCATTAAATTAAAAACAAACAAGTGCACCGCACCCCCAGTTAGCATTGACCAGAGGTCAACAAAAATGATTAAAATTGACTGCAGCGTGCGCTGGTTTCATCAGACGTTGCAAGGGAAAATTTGGCCTGCTGAATTGGTTTGGTATTGGTATATACAAAATTCATCATGTAACCTACCTGGATTCCTCATGACACCTTTTTTGGAGGCTCAGCTCTCCATTTGAAGTGTCAAAACCCGCAAATTTGGATTGTTTAGATTTCAGGGCCATGTATCACCATTTTGGTTTATACAATTTGGGAGGTCTCCAACTGACCACTTTCCACTGGACCATTCCACTTGTCTTTCATTTGTAGGTCCTTGATTGCATTCCCGGGCATTTCCGCCATTGCTCCTTAGGAGAAGAGCAGCCGTTGGATGGAAGCACTGCAGCTCCTTCGCAACATGGGCTCTTGGAGGTGAGGTCAATGAGAAAGTCGTTTTTCACCCCCTTCAAAAGTTACCCGCCTGATAGCTGGTTGAGCAGCCCTGCCCTTCCTAAGCCCCAATTTTTGGGCAAGTCAAGTTTTTTCAAACCATCCCCATGACGAAGGAAACCGTTTTTTTCTATTTGTTTGATAGGAAGGCAACTGTTTTTGGAGGCCTGTACTGGTAGTACCTGGGGTATGCTAGGGTGCCAACAGAACCCTGGGAGAAGTGAGATGTGGATCATCCAAGGTTGGCAATGGGCTATGCCACTCAGCTGTTGTAGAGACATCAGGTTCTGTAGCAATGTCACGATCAGACATGTATCAAACAACAAAGATAGCACTTGGTACTTCCCCGAACATCGTCTAATCTAACATCCATCAGACGCATTGGGGTACTGTGAAACCGATTGAAACTCAAAAGAAATGCATTATCCCGAACTATCCCCATGAAAATTGAAACTCCAAAAAACAATCTCCATTATCTCCCATTATATTTACTGTACATGGATCGCATTATTCTTTAAGCTTCAGGGTTGCATTGAAATGGTTTGGAGCTGCTGTGCAGATGCCAAGCCAATGACATCAGCTACAACAGTGCCTTGAAAGCGGCCGAGAGGGCGGGGCGTTGGCAGATCTCGTTGCTCCTTGGTGCCGCGTTAGTTCGTGGGTTTCTTAACCCCAGCTATAACTAGGGTGAATATGAGCGATCAGAACAGGGAATCGATGATGGTTTATCCACTGCATTTATACTTGGGGTCCGTTGTAACCCCTTTATGTTTTATCCCGCCTGAACCACCAAGCAGTTTGTGCTGTCCCTATTTTGTATCCTCACTTCACAGTCGTTCGCAGAGTGTTTTGCATTTCAACGACTGGGGCCCTATAATATGAACAGGGTTCAGAATATGTTCAGCTGAACAAGTGTCAGGACTTGAGGCAGCGAAATAATGATTGGGGCGCAGAAACCTTTGTTAAACAGAAGGAATAAGTGGAACTGCGATGGACCCTGTCCATCCTTAGCCATCCAAGCGTTCAGTGTTTCAGTTGATTGGAATTGTGCTGATGCTGATGAAGTCCCAAGTCTTTGTTGGTTGACGGAAACATCTGCAGGAAGTCCAGCATTTGGGTATGCAATGTATATTTGATGGCAGAAAAAGACACGGTCCCCTGTAGACAAACAACGTATTACCTCGGATCAATCCATTAAAACTCAAAACTGTTAGTGAATGCGATATCATTTGATGATGCTTCTTAAATCCACATAAATCCAGATTTTTTCATCGTTGGTCCTTTAAACCAATCTTAGCTGCTTCCCTCCAGCCAAGCGTCCCAGGTGCTTGTTGGAAGAGATGGAGGAAGTCTTGGGCGCTGAGACCTTGCCGAAGAGGGGCAGTTCAAGTTTTGATCACCTCAGGCTGGGAGGATGGCATGCCAAAGCGATACGACATTTATACACATGTCACATATTATATTTATCATTATTTATAATTGTATATTATGCTTTAACTTTAATATGTAGTATATATATAATAGAGATAGATAGATAGATAGATAGATAGATAGATAGATAGATAGATAGATGTGTGTATGTATATATATATATATATGCATACGTATATGTAACATTAACACATACATACATGCATGCATACATACATACATATACATACATACATACATACACATACATACATACATACACATACATACATATACATACATATACATACATATACATACATATACATACATATACATACATGCATACATACATGCATACATACATGCATACATACATGCATACATACATACATACATACATACACATATACATATACATATACATATACATACACATACATACATACAACCATTTACATACATACATATATATATATATACATACATAAACATACATATACATACATACATACATATACAGACATTTACATACATATACATACATATACATACATATACATACATATACATACATGCATACATACATGCATACATACATGCATACATACATGCATACATACATACATACATACATAAACAGTTATAATATATATATATATGGACGGACGGATGGACGGATGGATGGACGGATGGATTGGTTGATGGGTTGGATTAGGCCATTAGGTATTTAAAAAGAGACGGATGGATAGCTCCAAGGATTTGATCGCCTATAACACCGCCTGCATGGCCCTGAGCAGCTCCATGGCCTACCAGAGCGGCGCCCTACGGAGTCTGCCGCGGTTGTTGAATGAGCTCCCCTGCAGAGCCGCTAGGGCCGTCCAGGGCCTCCAGGCCATATGATTTTTTTTCTGAAATGGCCCAAGAAAGGGGGATAACTTGGAAGCATTTCAAGAGTCTTGTAGAGATTACTGACATGATGGTTGAAAAACTATGGAAGAAATAAATTGAAGATATCACCTCGAATGGTTGTTGGCAGTGGTTCCCCGATGGCTAGGGGATCTTCAAACGGGACATTTTAGCATTGACCGTATTCACCACTGATGCGCAGGTGGAACCGAACAAGTGATTTCGTCATTTGTGGTATGATGATCCTTGAACAACCTGACACAGCCATTTGAGATGTTCAGATGGGTTGAGCCCAACCAGGGAAACAGGCTGCCAGGTCCTACGTAGGATGGAATTTGGCCGCGTGTGTCCAGTGCAAATGGACGGAATTCTGTTGGGATCGCGTGGTACGGAGAAAAGGATCAGCTGGGAGTGGACCGCAGTTGTCAACGATGCCATTGCGACTTGACTTTTTACTATTTGTTTAAGGTGAAATTCCCTTGAAGCGTTAGATGCAACTTGGGTTTGTCTGAAAATGGAGTGCCCCAAATCCAATGATCTATCGCCATGTTCCTATTATATAATTTGGTGATTTTGGTATACCCCATTGTTGGGCAAAGCTAATTGGGAAAGGTAGCTGGACCAAGGCATGGAAGATCATTGACGTGGCATTGCGCAATCCGCAGTTGACGTTTATTCGAATGTGAAAAGCATTTCCAAACTGATTCAAAACGGTAAGGGTTTATTTGAGTGATTGTTGGAAGCGGAATGTCAACACATGCCATGGCATCATTTATAATCATTTGTTATGTTTTGTTATCCAGACAAGAAGATGCAATTCTAGATTCATGCGATCAGCGGGAGGGCTGCAGAGGATCCAAGTGCAGACGAAGGTACGCACGGCTCTTCAAGCCACCGGTCGCCTGTGAGAACGCCTGCCTAACCGTAGGTTCTCAATACTGCAGAGACTTTTTTCATTGCGGCCTGGGATCATGATGAATATTAAACCCCGTCCAATGGACTCATGTTTTTTTTAAATCTTTATTAGGATGAGTGAAAAAAACACCAGCTATACCGCCGGACTGAAAGTTAGAATGCCCATTTGGTGGCGGCAAGTGGATTTAGATATCCATTTCCGCGTACCGCGTGAGAAATTTGGGAGGCATTCTAACCCTATTTATTTAGTCCTGAAACCCCTAAACAAATCCGGGACGGCATTCTAACCCTATTTATGTAGTCCTGAAGACCCCAAAACTCCAAAATATCGAATTTTCGACCGTCCCGTGTCTTCCATGTACTACAAATATGCAGAATATGCATGAAATCTACCCAACAATACAATGAAAAATAATGAAAAACATCTTTAAAACATTGAAAAGTCAATGAAAAATGATGAAAAACATGTAAACACATTGAACAATCAATGAAAAATAATTAAACACATCTTGAAAATAATGAAGAATCATTGAAAAATAATGAACAACATCTTCAAAATAATGAAACATCAATGAAAACCATCTTTAAAATAAAAAACATTGAACAATAATGAAAAACATCTTCGAAATACTGAAAAATCACTGAATGCCGTCCCGGATTTTTTAAAAGGGGTTTCGGGACAATAAACAAGGTTAGAATGCCTCCCGGATTTCTCACGCTGTACACGTTTTTTTTTTTGAAATCCATGTCTTTCCACCAAAGTGACATTATAACTTTCAGTTGTACCATATAATTGGAAAAAACCATGAAAAATAATGAAGCACATCGTCAAAATAACGAAAACACAATGAAAAATAATGGATCTACCCATGATCAATTAAAACATGTCACAATATGCAGAAAAAATGCAATATCGTCATCCGCCGATCCAAGAACACCTCGTTTACTCACATCTGATATGTATGTACATGGTTGTAATTGTACATACATACAGCGCATATATGTGTGCATAATGCCGTTTTTGGAGGTTACCATACTGTTTAATCAACATTTCATTATCGTGGAGAATACCGTGGGAAAATCTCCGACGGGCATTCTAACCCTATTTATTTAGTCCTGAAACCCCTAAAACTCCAAAATTTTTGACGAACTTTTGACTGTCCCGTGTCTTCCATGTATATGGTACTGCAAATATGTAGAATACGCATGTAAATTGCCAAAAAAAACTACCCAAAACATGATGAAAAATAATGAAACAAATTCAAAAACACTAAAAAATCAATGAAAAACATGTAATTAACAACATTGAAAAATCAACGAAAAATAATGAAACACATCTTGAAAATAATGAAAAATCATTGAAAAATAATGAACTAACATCCTCAAAATAATTAGAATCAATGAACAACATCTTCAAAATACAAAAACACTGAACAATAATGAACAACATCTTCAAAATACTGAAAGATCACCGAATGCCGTCCCGGATTTTTTAAAAGGGGTTTCGGGACTAAATAAACAAGGTTAGAATGCCTCCCGGATTTCTCACGCGGTACACGTTTTTTTTTTTGAAATCCATGTCTTTCCACCAAAGTGACATTATAACTTTCAGTTGTACCATATAATTGGAAAAAACAATGAAAAATAATGAAGCACATCGTCAAAATAACGAAAACACAATGAAAAATAATGGATCTACCCATGATCAATTAAAACATGTCACAATATGCAGAAAAAATGCAATATCGTCATCCGCCGATCCAAGAACACCTCGTTTACTCACATCTGATATGTATGTACATGGTTGTAATTGTACATACATACAGCGCATATATGTGTGCATAATGCCGTTTTTGGAGGTTACCATACTGTTTAATCAACATTTCATTATCGTGGAGAATACTGTGGGAAAATCTCCGACGGGCATTCTAACCCTATTTATTTAGTCCTGAAACCCCTAAAACTCCAATTTTTTTGACGAATTTTTGACTGTCCCGTGTCTTCCATGTATATGGTACTGCAAATATGTAGAATACGCATGTAAATTGCCAAAAAAAACTACCCAAAACATGATGAAAAATAATGAAACAAATTCAAAAACACTAAAAAATCAATGAAAAACATGTAATTAACAACATTGAAAAATCAACGAAAAATAATGAAACACATCTTGAAAATAATGAAAAATCATTGAAAAATAATGAACTAACATCCTCAAAATAATTAGAATCAATGAACACCATCTTCAAAATAAAAAAACACTGAACAATAATGAACAACATCTTCAAAATACTGAAAAATCACCGAATGCCGTCCCGGATTTTTTAAGGGGGTTCAGGACTAAATAAATAAGGTTAGAATGCCTCCCGGATTTCTCATAATCCATGTCTTTCCACCAGGGTGGCAATATAACTTTCGGTTGTACCATATAATTAGGAAAAAAACAATGAAAAATAATGAAACACATCGTCAAAATAACGAAAAAACAATGAAAAATAATGGATCTACCCATGATCAATAAAAAATGTCACAATATGCAGAAAAAATGCAATATCGTCATCCGCCGATCCAAGAACACCTCGTTTACTCACATCTGATATGTATATGTACATGATTGTAAATGTACATACGTACAGCGCATATATGTGTGCACAAGGCCGTTTTCGGAGGTTACCATCCTGTTTAATCAACATTTCATTATCCTGGGGTATACCGTGGGAAAATCCGCGACGGGCATTCTAACCCTATTTATTTAGTCCTGAAACCCCTAAAACTCCAAAATGTTTGACGCATTTTTCGACCGTTCCGTGTCTTCCATGCATATGGTACTGCAAATATGCAGAATATGCATGTAAATTGCAAACAAATCTTTCCATGAACAATAAACAATGTCATAATATGCAGAACAAATGCAATATCGTATTATAAATGTGTAGAATATGCAGGTATTCGCCAAAAAAAACATGCTCATGATCAGCAAAAAAAATATATGACCACTAAAATTGACAGAATATGCAGAAAACAGGCAATATCGTCATCTGCCGATCCAAGAACGCCTCGTTTACTCACATCTGATATGTATGTGCATGATTGTAAATGTACATATATGTAGTATATACAGCGCATATATATATATGTGTGTGTGTGTAATGCTGTTTTCAGAGATTACCATCCTGTTTAATCAAAATTTCATTGTCGTGGGGAATATCGTGGGAAAATCTCGACGGGCATTCTAACCATATTTATTTAGTCCTGAAACCCCTTAAAAAAATCCGGGACGGCATTCTATCCCTATTTATTGAGTCCTGAAACCCCTAAAACTCCAAAATTATTGACGCATTTTCGACCGTCCCGTGCCTTCCATGTACTGCAAATATGCAGAATTTGCATGTAAATTGCGACCAAACCTTTCCATGGACAATAAACAATGTCATAATATGCAGAAAACATGCAATATCGTACAATCATGTATAATCAATATGTAGAATATGCAGGTATTCGCCAAGATAACATGCTCCTGATCAGCACAAAAAAATAACCACTAAAATTGACAGAATATGCAGAGAAAATGCAATATCGTCATCGGCCGATCCAAGACACCTCGTTTACTCACATCTAATATGTATGTACATGTACATATATGTAATATATAGAGCGCATATGTATATCTGTGTATGATGCCGTTTTCGGAGGTTACCATCCTGCTTAATCAACATGTCATTATCGTGGGGAATACCGTGGGAAAATCCCCGACGGGCATTCTAACCCTATTTATTTAGTCCTGAAACCCCTAAAACTCCAAAATTGTTGACGCATTTTCGACCGTCCCGTGTCTTCCTTGTACTGCAGATATGCAGAATATGCATGTAATTTGCAAACAAATCTACCCATGAACAATAAACAATGTAAACATTTGCAGAAAACATGCAACATCGTATTGTAAATTGTAAATTTAAATATGTAGAATATGCATGAATATGCAGGTATTTGCCCAAAAAATATTGCTCATGATCAGTAAAAAAAGTACATGATCAATCAAAAATGACAGAATATTGAAAAATGCCATATCGTTTGTGTGTAATGCCGTTTTTGGAGGTTACCATCCTGTTTAATCAACATG